CTCACTGGGTGGGAACTTGGCCTGAATACATATTGAGAGTTTTTTCCCTTGACCCAGGCATATGATAGGTGCTAGAAGCCCATATTATGTGGCTTGGGTGTGGCAGATGTGGGGTTTACCTCTCAAGCTCCTTGAATCCATAAAACTGTTTCAGTTGAAAGAGTCCCAATCCTGATCCCTTCCTCAGTACTCTCTTCCCTCTTTAGCCACTGACGTGTATATTGAGTATATTGGTACGGACGTAACCTCATGGTCTACAACTAATAGTCAGCTCCAACAACACCTGGAACTAATTTATTCAATTATTCCATATATATTTCTTAGGTGACTACTACATACCACACACTCTTTTAAGCACGTGGGATACATCAGTGAACCTAGCAGACAAAGCCCCCTGCCTCATGTAGCTTAAAACAGCAACTCTCTCATTTAGTTAACTTCTTCTCCCATCATACTAAATACTATTTCAAACCTTCACCCCTTTTTTCAATCTTCTGCCCCCAACCCTCACAGCAGATATACTGGGCTCCCACTTCACAGAGGAACTAGAAGTCACCTGAAGGGAACTTTTCATTTAAAAGCCTTACCAAATACTTGCATGTCATCCTTCCTTTTCTCTTTCCTTCCTGTTTCCCAAGCTAGGATTGGTGCCCTTACTTCCCCATCGCAACTCTTTTCACACTGTGTTGTAACTTCTGGCTTAACTATCTATCTTTCTCGAGGTTGGGGACCCTCTCTAAATATTTTCAATTTTTTTTTTTTGAGGAAGATTGGCCCTGCACAAACATATGTTGCCAATCTTCCTCTTTTTCTTTTTTCTCCCCAAAGCCCCAGTACATAGTTGTATATCATAGTTGTAGAGTCGTAGCTCTTCTATGTGGGACGCCACCTCAGCATGGCTTGATGAGCGGTGAGTAGGTCCACGCCCAGGATCTGAACCAGTGAACCCTGGGCCACCAAAGCAGACCTAACTGCTACGCCGCTGGGCCAGCCCTCAATATTTATTTATTTATTTATTTATTTTGTGAGGAAGATCAGCCCTCAGCTAACATCCATGCTGATCCTCCTCTTTTTGCTGAGGAAGACTGGCCCTGAGCTAACATCCATGCCCATCTTCCTCCACTTTATATGGGAGGCCGCCACAGCATGGCCTGACAAGCGGTGCTTCGGTGCCCACCCGGGATCCGAACCCGGGCCGCCAGCAGCGGAGCGCGCGCACTTAACTGCTACGCCATGGGGCCAGCCCCCTCAATATTTATTTTTAATGCTTAAATAGCCACAGATTTCTCCAGTGGGAGCCCCTGCAATCTAGTTTCTGTGTCATTTTGACAAATTTCCTTCTTATTTGAGTACTTTCTTCCTTTCTGCTTCAATGTGATGTTTCAAGCTCATCTTGTGTGTTCCCAGCACCATCCTGGAATCAACCACTTCTCCAAGTAACCCTGTTTTCTTTTAGTGGAGGATGGTATTTAGAAGTCAAGATCTGGGTGCTAGGTGTTCTGATTGTTACTGCTATTGTGCTGCTCTTCCCAGGCCCTTTCAGTGAACAGCGAATAGGGAATATATTTATGGATGTATATGTATATGTGTGTGTATATGTGTGTATGCATGTGCATATGTATGTATGTGTACATATTTAAATATGTATTTATTTCTTTATCTATTTATACTGAAAACCATGAGGTCACACCAATACCTCCAATTCCAATTCAAAATTACAGAGTTCTTTAGAGTTTCCACCTTTCCATATGTGTAACAACTTTCTCTAAAAGTGAGAAATCTTGCTTCTATTCTTTTTTATTTATTTATTTATTTTGTGAGGAAGATCAGCCCTGAGCTGACATCCATGCCAATCCTCCTCTTTTGGCTGAGGAAGACCGGCCCTGAGCTAATATCTATTGCCAATTCCCCTCCTTTTTTTTTTCTTTTCTTTTTTTTCCCCTTTTTCTCCCCAAAGCCCCAGTAGATAGTTGTATGTCATAGTTGCACATCCTTCTAGTTGCTGTATGTGGGACGTGGCCTCAGCATGGCCGGACAAGCGGTGCATCGGTGCGTGCCCGGGATCCAAACCCGGGCGGCCAGTAGCGGAGCGCAGGCACTTAACCACTAAGCCAGGCGGCTGGCCCGCTCCTATTCTTAATATATTTATTTATTTGATTGGTCCCCCGTGAGTAATCAATTGCCCATCACTGCAGCAATTCCCTTCCACGTGCAGATACCCTCTTTACTTCTACTGGGCTCCAACAAGGCATGCTGGGCAGACCTTCTACATGCACAATACTCACGCCACGTGGGCTTGGACAACTTAGACAGCCTCTTGCACATACGGTCCCCTCCCCCAGCTCACGCTGACACCTCCCCCACCAATGCCAATGCCTGCCTTATGTGACTGACATAAGGGCTTTAGGAATGAATTTTCAGAATGAAACGGGAAGAGGAAGAGAGAGTGCACCTTGACTTTTCTAAATGTTATTTTATTACCACATTTTAAATCATAATACATATCTACTTCTTTATTTTTTAAAAATTAGAACATTACAGGTAACACTAAAGTCTCCTTTGACAATCAGCCTCAATTTTGGTCTGTTTTCTTTTTCTCTGGTGGCAACCCTTGCCATTAGATTAATGTATATCCTTCTAAATGTTTTTTAAGTAAGTTTACATTCACGTATATGTTCTTAAAGAAAGAATAATAGACATCTTATATTGTCTTTCTCCCCCTCTTCCTCCCTCCTTTTCTAGGATTAGACATAGAGGTTAAGAATACAGCATGCTCTGTCTACTGCCATCCTGAAACCAAGAGCTGTATTTTACTTTTCTTTTTACCCTCAGCATCTGGCACAGTGCCTAGGACATAGTAGTTACTCAATAAAATTTTTTTGTGTGTGTGAGGAAGATCAGCCCTGAGCTAACATCCATGCCAATCCTCCCCTTTTTGCTGAGGAAGACTGGCCCTGAGCTAACATCCATTGCCAATCCTCCTCCTTTTTTTTTCCCCTTTTTCTCCCCAAAGCCCAAGTAGATAGTTGTATGTCATAGTTGCACATCCTTCTAGTTGCTGTATGTGGGACGCAGCCTCAGCATGGCCAGACAAGCGGTGTATCGGTGAGCCCCCAGGATCCGAACCCGGGCCGCCAGTAGCAGAGCGCGAGCACTTAACCGCTAAGCCATGGAGCCGGCCCCTCAATAAAATATTACTGTCACGTTTCTTAAGCTAGATTCCCCAAAGTGAAATTGTTTATTCAAAGGGTTTTTTATTTCTGCCAAATTATTGGAAGAAAAGAGATGGTGTTTATTCTGCCATCAGAACTCTGAAGATAAATGCCCTGCTCTTCAGGGCTGTGAAATCACTGTCCTCATCATATATGTCACTTATTTGACTCTTCGCACACTGTTGATATGGTAGTGATATTCATGTGTGTAGGAAATCTCTGACAGGAGGACCCTGACATGTGACCGTCTGTTTATGATGGCTTGATTTGTTGGATACTGCATTTTAGAACCGTTCTTATTGAAAATAAAGGCACAACAGTGGTGACAAAAATTTCATCTGTAACTGTCTAGTTAATTAGGCCCAGGCCAGTGGAATCAAGGCTAGCAAGAAATCATGATGCTCTAATTTGTGAAGTGGAATAATTCCGATAGGATGAATGTATTATCTGAGACAGCAAATTCCCACATCTCCAAACACACCAGTAATTCCAGTACAGACATTATTTTCTCTTCGAAATACCTAAGAGCAGCCTGGATGAGGCATCAATTGAAAAAGTTTTCAATATGAGAAAAGCATAGTTTTATCACCGCAGGAACAGAAAGGTTGGTGTGGCACCAGAGCTCTATTCATCCCTTTAGACAACCATGGGATTTGGGGTCAGGAGACTGGATCCAGTCCCTGCCCTGTCCTGAGCTAAGGATTCTCAGAATTCTGAGAATTGAGCCTTTCTCAGTTTCAGTTTTCACATCAGTAAGTGGGGATAATAAGAAGACACCTACCTCATAGTATTATCATATGAGCTGGATATTTTAAGAAGTGGATCTAGTGTGACAAGCACAAAACGTCATACAATTAGAAATTGCCACAACAGACACGAGGATAAATGATTCGTTTTAGAATATTTGAAGCATAACCTCCCTGAACATCCTCCAGAGGGAGAAGGGAGGACCCATTTCTAAGCACCTTAGTTTATCTTCTCTTCGAACTCTTGAAACAAACCTGTGGGGCAACATTATTCTCATTTAAGAGACGAGGAAACAGGCTTGAGCCGTTCCTTTGCCCAGGGTTACACAGTTGGAGGTGGCAGAGCTGGGGTCCGACCTCAGCCCTTTGACACCCAAGGCTCCCTACACCCAACCTACTCTCCCCAAAGCTAGGGGGGAGGGGCAGAACTGAGAGGAGTGGGTGAGGGCAGGAGAGTGAGGTTGGTCAGTGGCAGAGCAGGGGTCAAAAAACAAGGCAAGGGAGTGGAAAGACTTTCATAGAAAGAGTCATGAGATGGGCACTGCCAGAGAATCTGGGCAGAGGTAGTCAAGTCTGGGTATTTCAAGAGTTTAGAGGAAAAAGATTAAATTATTTAATTTATTACTTTATTTGATAAACTAATTTAATGATTACCTTTAATTTTCAGAAAACCAAGGTACAAAAAAAACTGCTGGAAAGAAAAGAATTCATATCTAAAATAGAACACCACCAATCATGTACAATTTTCAAGTTAGTAGCTACGACCTCGCACACATCTTTTACAGCAGGTAATTAGGAGACCCCATAACCCTTAGAATTTCTTTTTTTTTTTTTTTAAAGATTTTATTTATTTTATTTTTTCCCCCCAAAGCCCCAGTGGATAGTTGTATGTCGTAGCTGCACATCCTTCTAGTTGCTGTATGTGGGACTCGGCCTCAGGATGAACAGAGAAGTGGTGCCTCGATGCACACCCGGGATCCGAACCCGGGCCACCAGCATCGCAGCGCGCGCACTTAACCACCAAGCCACAGGGCCGGCCCCTTAGAATTTCAATAATTCTCTCAGCACCATCATCCTGCACCAGGGTGCAGGGTGATCTGGCCAGGATGTGAGTACTAGGAGGCAGGGATCTTGGTTTTGTGTATGGATGAATCTTAAGCACCCAGAACTGTGCCTGGAACTTGGGAGGTGCTCACCAAGCATTTTTTGAGAGAAGGAATCTGAGAATTTGTGAACTAAAATACGACAGGGCCTCTGAGAACCAGCTGAAATAGAGAGCTGCGTGTTCCCTTGGTTCTTTCTGCTCCTAGGAGGAACAGCTGACTTGTTACCCCCCATCTAGAATCAGCTGTGTAGGCTAAACTTGTAGACTACACAGCATCAGCAGGCCTGACCGCATTTGAAGAAAGACTAAGAATAAAGTCTGCCACAGATGCTGGTAAATAAGACAGGAGAATGAAGCTTGCGGCGTCCCAGCCAGCAGAGTAGCGGATCCGAGGGTAGACGGCGGTCAGGGCATGCTCCATGCAGTTGGTGGCCGGGGTTAGATTCTTCTGTCCTTGAGATGTGAGTTTATTAAAATACTGGCAATCTGTTATAGAGAATAGTTGTTAGAACTGTGGTGACACATTAATATGAAAAGCAGGAGAAAATACAAGGTACAAACTGTATTGGAGGAGTGGGAGAGGACAGAACAGGAAGAGGATGGCCTTGTGTTCCAAGCCTGATACTGGGTGGTCGCTGTGTGAGAGGGGGTGGGGTGCAGGGCTCGGAGCACAGGCTCTGTAGCTGTGCTATCCAGTACTGCAGCCGCGAGCCACATGTGGTAACCGAGCACAAGAAATGTGGCCAGTCTGACAGAGATGTGCAATAAATGTAAAATTCACTTTGGGTTTCCAAGACTTAGTATGAAGAAAGAATGTGAAATATCTCAATCGCGATTTTTTATGTGGATCATTTGTTGAAATGATAGTATTCTGGATAGAGTCTATTCTGGATTAAATTCACCTGTTTGTTGTTATTTTTATGTGGCAAATGGAAACGTTAAAATCACATATGTGGCTTGCATTTGTGGCTCGCAGTATATTTCTGTCAGGCTACAGCTGTCTAGAGCCACATTGCCAGGGTTCAGTTCATCGCTTTGCCACTGGCTTGCTGAGTGATCTTGGGAAGTCACTCACCATTTCAGGCCTCAGTTTCCTTATCTGTGAATGAGGAATAGCAACAGCACTTTCCTTCTCGGGTTGTGAACACTGGCTGAGTTAATTCCTCCGCGTGACTGGCACGGAGCCCATGAGTATTGAGTGAATGATGACGCTCAAGAGAAAGGAGGAAGGGCGGCAGCAGCGAGCCCGGAACACAGCTGCCACATAGCCAGCACTCAAGAAGGTTTCTGAAGTTAATGACTTTGCCATCCTTGCTCTGTGGAGATCGAGGAAGAACTTACAGCCTTTGAAGTACTTGTCTCCGTAGCTCTTCTTCACCTCTGGGGACACTCGACTCCAGATTCCCTTGAATATATCCTCTATATTGTCAGGGCAAATGGATGTTTTAAAGCTCCCGGGTACCATGATAGCAACACGAACTCCAAAAGGACACAGCTCTCTTCTGAAACACAAGGCAAGAGAGTGTGAACCAAGGAAACTGCCTCTATCTCTGATCCAATCAATCCTGTTCCTTCCTAAACAAAGAAGGCCCAAGGCAAAACGTTTCAAGGAAGGCATTTAGGTCAAGAAGAATATGAAAGAGAACACCCAGGTATCTGGGGAAGATGTCACAGCAACAGTGAAAGAGACAACGCCCATAGACTGCTTCTTGACCAGATCTGAAAAGCTTCAAAGGGCGGGAGGCATTAGTGCTGCCTCTTCCTGCCCATCTCACATCTCTCTCTCCAAGATGGGCCCCCTGCGACAGCTCTCTGAACACCCAAGCCCCTTCCTACCCCTGCCTCTTCCCCCTTACCTACCTGCTCAGGTTAGAACTCAGTTCCTTTGTGAAGCCTTCCTTGGTCTCTGCCCCAAGGAAAGGTATGTCACCCCATCATTGGTGCCTCTGCACACCGTATTCATATTTACTGTATTTATCGTACACCCACTACAGAAATTTTCACCCGCCGAACTGGGTTCAGATTCTGGCTTGACCTCACACTTGACCCTAGAGAATCATAGCTAACTCAGAGAGCTTCTGTGAGGAGTAAATAGAGCACTTGGCAAAGAGTTTTGCCTTTAGATTAACCCACTAATATTGACTCTTTCCTCAGGAGAACCATCAATGAGGTTTAGTGACTTAAAACACTTAATTAATAAAGCAAATAATTCTTTAGTAACAGATTATTATCACTCCCATAACAAGTATACATTATATATATAACTTTCATTTATATTCATATATATATGTCTTACAGAAATATATTTCATTTGTTTGAAACATGTAGACATTTTATAGGGATGGCCATAAAGACAAAATAAGTCCTAATATATTTTTCACATTTCCTAATGGATTATCTAATATTATTACAAGATTTGGACATTCCATTGCCAAAGTCCCCGATTTCAGTCAACACCAGGATAACCGGAACCCAGGCCCATCATTCACGAATACACTCCAGCCACAGTCAAGTCTTCCTCAGCAGACTGGTCCTTACCTCAGGCAGTCAGAAAAAGCTTCTACGCCATACTTAGAAATGCAGTAGCCGCCACCAAACACAGATAGTCTCCCAGTTGGGCTAGAAACATTGACTACTCTTCCCCTGGCCTTTCTGATCAGGGGAAGAAAGCTCAGCGTCACTTCGATGAGGCCAAGCAAGTTCACGTTCAAGATTTTTGAGAAATCATCTTTGGTCAGCCATTCATTTGGGGCAGCTGGCACACCAATGCTGGCATTGTTCACCAAACCCCATAGGCCTAGTAGAAACAAAGAGAAATTAGAAATGGGAAACCCATTGAAGAATCATATCGGTGTTCAAATTACATTCTCTTAAGGGAGGTAAACCATAAACCCAATAAATTGGTAAATTATGTAGTGTGTCAGAAGGTGATAAGTGGCAATGGAAAAAAGGAGAAGGTGAGCAGGGTTGGGTGGCAGGTGAGGAGTGTTCGTTCATCCTATTGAGTCAGGTGGTCAGGACAAGCCTCTTTGAGCAAAACTTACAGAAGAATGGGTCAGTCAAAGGGACATCTGGGGCAGATGGTTCTAGGTGGAAAAACAACTTCAGTAAATACCACTAGGCATTTGCCTGGATGCCTAGTGGTATTGGCCTGTTGAACGAACAGCAAGAAGACTGGTGTGCCTGGGGCAGAAGGTGAGAGTTAGGGAATGGTAGAGAACTGGTCGGGGAAGCAATGGGATGCCAGATCATGCAATGCCTCGCAGGCCATTTTAAAGAGCTTAGCTTAATTTATTTATTTATTTATTTATTTTTTGAGGAAGATCAGCCCTGAGCTAACATCCATGCGAATCCTCCTCTTTTTGCTGAGGAAGACTGGCCTTGGGCTAACATCTGCGCTCATCTTCCTCCCCTTTATATGGGACGCCGCCACAGCACCGCCTGACAATCAGTGCAACAGTGCGTGCCCAAGATCCGAACCTGGGCCGCCAGCAGGGGAGCACGCGCGCTTAACCGCTAGCCACAGGGTTGGCCCCAAGAGCTTAGCTTTTACTTCAGGGGAAACGGGAAACCACTGCAGGGTTGTGGTTTTTTTTGTTTTTTTGTGTATGTGTGTGAGGAAGATCAGCCCTGAGCTAACATCCATGCCAATCCTCCTCTTTTTGCTGAGGAAGACTGGCCTTGAGCTAACATCTATTGCCAATCCTCCTCCTTTTTTTCCCCTTTTTCTCCCCAAAGCCCCAGTAGATAGTTGTATGTCATAGTTGCACATCCTTCTAGTTGCTGTATGTGGGATGCCGCCTCAGCATGGCCAGACAAGCGGTGCAACGGTGCGCGCCCGGGATCCAAACCTGGGCCACCAGCAATGGAGCGGGCACACTTAATCGCTAATCCACTGGGCTGGCCCCCACTGCAGGGTTTTGAGTAGAGCTGTGACATAACCTGACTTATTTTTTAAAAGGTATTCTGTGTGTGCTCTGATGAGAACTAGGGGTGCACGAGGGTAGATGCAGGGTACCTGGGAGGAGATTATTGCAGTAATCCAGGCATGAAATGATGATGGCTATAGCCAGATTGCTGGCAACAGCAGTAGCCAAAAGAACTCAAACTCTGAACAAATTTTAAAGACACTGTATATTTTTCTGACTTTTTTAATACAGTGAGGGAGAGGAAGAGTGTCGTCAAGAATGACTTTGCTGAGGGGCCAGCTCCGTGGCATAGTGGTTAAGTTCCTGCACTCAGCTTCGTCGGCCCATTGTTCCTGGGCCCAGATCCCCGGCACGGACAGACCCACCATTTGTCAAGCCATGCTGTGGCGGCCTCCCGTATAAAAAGTAGAGGAAGATGGGCACGGATGTTATCCCAGGGCCAATCTTCCTCAGCAAAAAGAGGAGGATTGGCAACAGATGTTAGCTCAGGGCTAATCTTCCTCACACACACACACAAAAAAAAGAATGACAGCTGAAATTAAAAAACAGAATGGAGGTACCATTTACTGGGATGGGGAAGGTTTAGAGATGTGCAACAATCAGGAGTTCAGTTCACTAAGGTTAAATTTGAGATTCTCGCAGACATTCAAGTAGAAATGTGGAAGAAGCTATTGGAAATTTGAATCTGCAGCTCGGGAGAGAGGTACGGGTTGGAGATATAAGTATAGATACCGTGAATGTCTAAGAATTGAGCCCCAAGGGCACTCTGCAATAAGGATCTGGGAAAAGTGGAGGAACTGGCAAAGGAAACTGAGAGAAAGCATTGAGATAAGAGGAAATAAGTTCTAAGAGAGTGGTGTCCTGAAAGCCAAGGGAAGTGGGTGTATTAAGAAGGAGAAAGAGGCGCCGGCCTGGTCGCATAGTGGTGAAGTTTGTGCATTCTGCTTCGGCGGTCTGGGGTCACTGGTTTGGATCCTGGGCGCAGACCTACTCACCTCTTATCAAGCCATGCTGAGGCGGGGTCCCGCATAGAAGAACTAGAAGGACCTACAACCATGTACTGGGGCTTTGGGGAGAAAAAAGAAAAAAAAGAGGAAGATTGGCAACAGATATTAGCTCAGGGCCAGTCTTCCTCAAAAGACAAAAAAAGGAGAAAGAGAGAACATGGTCAGATGCTGCTAGGTCAAGTAGAGCAAGGACTGAGAATCAACCCTTGGATGTAGAAGGTGAAGGTCATTGGACACCTTGATAAAAGCAATTTGGGAAGAGTGATGGGTGTGAGTGCATGATTGGAAATGCTTTAACAGAGAATAGGAAGAGAGACTGCAGGCAATGAGTATAGATAAATCCATAGAGGAGTTTTGTGGCACAGAGAAAAAGATTTGGTGGTGGTGAGGGTGAACTCCCTATTCTGGTCTTGTTTCTTTAAAAAGGAGTGTTTGGTAAACATTTAGATGTATTAGGTAAAGAAAGGGGATAGTCAACCAGTATTGGCAGCTTTAAGCATTTGAAAGTAGATACATCTTAATTCTTCAAAACAGAATTCATCAAAATTAAAAGTCTTGCTAGTCAAGATTTCCAGGCTACACATTGATTTTTCTTTCTTTTTTTCTGCCTTTTTTTTTTCTTTTTGGTGAAGAAGATTAGCCCTGAGTTAACATCTGTTGCCAATTCTCCTCTTTCTGATGAGGAAGATTGGCCCTGGGATAACATCTGTGCCAGTCTACCTCTACTTTATACGTGGGATGCCTTCCACAGCATGGCTTGGTAAGCGGCGCGTAGGTCCGCGCCTGCGATCCAAACCTGAGAACCCCTGGGACGCCCAAGCAGAGCGCACAAACTTAACCACTACACCATCTGGCCAGCCCCACTTAAATGTATTTTTTGATAAAAAGAGAGAGAGAGATTATGCCTGACTGGGGAAATGAAGGCTATGAATAACTTCCACAGGCCTAAGACTCTCCTAGAGGAACTTTAATTCAGACTTCTCTCTTTTGGAATTCAGATTCACATACCCCACTGTCTTCTTGACATCATCACTACACAGTAGTACAGGTTCATAAAAAATTTTAACTTTCTATAAGATATGAAAAATAACACTCAAATAGAAATAATATATCAAGTTTAACAACTCCAAAGAGAACCATTATTCATTCTCTTACCTCAAATTAGTTTCTTCTTAAGTCTTTCTTATTTTAATAAATAACACCTCTTGACCCAATTATACAAACCAGAAACCTGGGAGTCATTCCTAACCCCTTTTGCTCCCTCAGGCCCTATGTGTAATCCATATGTTGACTAATCAACATGTGTCCTATTGATTCTGTTTCTAAAACAAATCTGGAATCCAACAGCTTCTTTCCATCTCCAGTCATCCCTCTGTCTAGAGTCTCTATCACCTCTAGTCTGAACCTTGCCATTGTATCTTAAGTGGTCTCTGAATCCTGTTTGACTTCCTACAATCCTTTTGCCAGGGTTAGAGTAGTCTCACAAAGCTACAACTCAGGTCACGATGCCCCTTGCATGGCTTCCCTATGTCCTTAGCACAAACCCTCCAATCTCATACGAGTGATAAGGCCTTACAGGACAAGTCCCTGCCTAGCTTTCCAGCCTCAACTCACACCCTTCTCCTCACACTCACTGCTTCCAGTGTATGGAACAAGACAAGTTCTTTCCTACCATGATGCCTATATATTTCCCTGTGCCAGGACCCTGTTTTCCCCATTCTTCACTTGGCTAAACTCTTACTCATTTTTCAGTTCTCAGCTTAAATATCAATACATCTGAGCTTCTCTTCTGACCCACCAATACAAATTAAGCACATCTGCCAGAATAACCTCTCATCATTCTCTTTATCTTTCCAGCTGATAAAGGGGATATCAAAACTGGACATTGTGTTTTACCATAAGTGGTTCCAACCAGCCAAAGCTGTTAAAGATCAGCGAACTTTGAGCAAATGAGGTACGTTAGACCCCACTGGACCTAAATGAAGACACACTAATGACCAAAGAACGACAGAACTTGATTTAAGCAAACACATATGGGCTTGAGCAGTCATTCTGCCCAAACCAGGGCACAGGTTTCAATCCTTAGAATGCATAACCACAATGAACTCCTCCTTTTTAGCACGTAAAGATATCTGACTCTTCTCTCTTTTGTGAAGCTCCTACTGAATTTCTACAGTGCCGTCTGTTCCACTACCTGCATTTTGTTGATCATTGTGGTGGTCTTTGTCCTTTTGTTTACATAGTAGTTATCACAGTTTGTAATTATATATCTATTTGTGTCTTTAGCTATTTACTCTCCTGCAAGACTGTAAGCTCTATGAGGGCAAGGGCAGTGTGTATTTTGTCTCCAACTCTATCCCCAGAACCGGACTCATAATTGGAGCTAAAAAAATTGTTGACTAAAAGAATAACAAAAAAGAATGAAGATAATGAGTCTAATAAACCTCCGTTATTTGTTTCCATTCTTTTTCTTATTATAAATTGTGTTACTGTACTAACTGATGCAAAAACTCACAACCACAAAATTGCTGTGTCAGAAGTATGGGTAGTTTTTAGATTTTGGATATGTATTGCCAGATTACTTTATGGAAATTACAAGTTAATGTATTGAGTCAACAAAGTATAACTATTATTGAACAATGGACAGAGGATGGGAGCAGAGAAGAGGGAATAGGAAGGAAAGCTTCAATGGGAAAGCTTAAGTCAATCTACATAATAAAGGCCTGGAATGGGAAGGGATGGAAGGAGAAGGAAGGAAGGGAGAAGGCACTTGTAGAACAAGGGGAGTTTTTGGGGGGTTTTTTTGGTTTTTTTGGTGGGGGGAGGAAGGGGAGGGAGCTAAGGGGCTAGCAGAAAGACTTATGAGAGAGGAGATAATTGATGGGACTAACTCACTGAAAGGACCAGAAGGGGAGAAATCCATAATCTTGGAAAAGAAGCTATTTAGAATGAATGAGAAGGCATAAGGCAGGAACCTGAGGAAATGCCAGCTTAAGGACTAGAATGTCTTGGTGAAAAAGAATACACTTCCTCTGAGAGAAAAGGGGAGATGAGTGGCAAAGTATTGAGGGGAGTCAACAAGAGTATAGCTGTTGAGGAATCTGAGAGTAAGTTGATTAGGGACATGAAGAATTACTGCACAGCTGGGGTTTGGACTAGTGACCAACCCTCACATTGACAAGATGTCAGATTTCACAATGACTTCAAAGTAGCCATTACAAATATGTTCAAAGAACTACAGGAAACCATGCTTGAAGAAGTAAAGGAAGGTGTGAAGACACTGTCTAATCAAGTAGAGAATATGAATAAAGAGACATAAATTGTAAAAAAGAACCGAATGGAAACGTTGGAGTTGAAAAGCACAAGAACCAAAATGAAAAATTTATTACAGGTGTTCCACAGTAGAATTGAACTGGCACGGGAAAGAATCAATGAACTTGAGAATAGATTGATAGACATTGTGCAATCTGAAGAACAGAGAAAAAACTAGAAGGAAGTAAAATGAATAGTGCCTCAGAGAAATGTGGGACATCTTCAAGCACACCAACAAACACAGGTGTAGTTGGAGTGCCAGAAGGAAAGGAGAAAAAGAAGAGCAGAAAAACATTCAAAAAAATAATGACTGAAAACTTCCCAAATTTGATGAAAAACATTAATCTATACATCAAAGAAGCTTAACAAACTCCAAGTAGAATACGTGCAAAGAGATCCACACCCAGACACATCATAGTAAAAATGCTGCAAGATTAAATTCTTAAAAAAGGAAGAGGGACTGGTCTGGTGGTGTAGCGGTTAAGTTCACATGCTCCGCTTCGGTGGCCCGGGGTCCGCCGGTTTGGATCCTGGGTGTGGACCTATGCACCGCTCATCAAGCCATGCTGAGGTGGCGGCCCACATAGAGCAACTAGAAGGATGTACAACTATGACATACAACTATCTACTGGGGTTTTGGGGAGAAAAAAGGAAAAAAGGAGGAAGATTGGCAACAGCTGTTAGCTTGGGGCCAATGTTCCTCAAAAAAAAAAAAAAAAAAAAGAAGAAGGTAGAGAAAATGACTCAACAGGTACAGGGCCCACCAGTTAGATTAACAGCTGAATTCTCACCAGAAACAATGGAGACCAGAAGGCAGTGGGATGACTTGTTGAAAGTGCTGAAAGAAAAAATCTATCAACAATGTCATATCCAGCAAAGCTATCTTTCAAAAATAAAGGTGAAATAAAGACATTCTCAGGTAAACAAAACAGAGACAATTCTTTGCTAGGAAACCCACCTTACAAGAAATAATAAAGGAAGTTCTTCAGGGTGAAAGCAAGAAAACCCAGATGGAAATTCAAATCCACATGAAAAAATAAAGAGAATAAGTAAAGGTAATTACATAGTTATAAAAGATAGTATAAATGCATATTTTTCTTCTTTTTTCTCTTAACTGATTTTATAAGTAATTATATCAAACAATATGTATACAATTGTGTTGTTGAGCCTATAACATATAGAAAAATAATATACCTGCAACAACAGCACAAAGGAGGTGAATGAGAACAGAATTATATTGGAACGAGGAAATGAAACCAGCTGGCAATTGGAACCCACAGGAAAAAGAGAAAAGAACCAGAAACGGTAAATAAGAAGACAAATATAACAAGCTGCATAAATATATGCTTGCTTTTCTTTTTTTCTTAGGTTCTTTAATAGACATAAAATACTCTAAAGAAACAATTGTAACAATACATTGTTGGGTTTGTCACATATATAGATACAATATGTATAACAATAATAGCACTAAATTGGGGAAGAGAGAATAGAGCTATGTAGGAGTAATGCTTCTATATCTCACTGGAAGAAAGCTAGTGTAAATCTGAAGTAGATTCTGAAAAGTTAAGATGTATATGGTAAGCCCTAGAGTAACCGCTAAGAAAATATCTTTTAAAATATAATAAAAATAGGGCTGGCCCGGTGGCTTAGCGGTTAAGTGCACGTGCTCTGCTGCTGGCGGCCCCGGTTTGGATCCCGGGCGCGCACCGACGCACTGCTTCTCTGGCCATGCTGAGGCCGCGTCCCACATACAGCAACTAGAAGGATGTGCAGCTATGACATACAACTATCTACTGGGGCCTTGGGGGAAAAATAAATAAATAAAATCTTTAAAATATAATAAAAATCACTAAACGATTTAAAACTTACACTAGAAAATGTTTACTTAATGCAAAAGAAAGCAGTAAGGAGGAATAGAGAAATAAAAAATACATGAGACATATAGAAAACCAAAAGTAAAATGATAGATATAAATCCATGAATAATAACATTAAATGTGACTGGATTAAAAATGTATATTTCTGACTTGACCAATGAAATAAACTCTATAATAAACAGTTTCCTTTAGAGGTAGGTGTGGCCATGTGAATAAATTCTGAGAACAAGAAGTAAAAGAAGTATTAACTAATGATTTCTAAGGAGTATTTTTTTTGTAATTTGGGAATTTCAATGTGGAGGATATTTTTTTAAAAAGATTTATTGATATATAATTGATGCACAATAAACTGCACATATTAAGAGTACAGTTTGGGGCTGGCCCCATGGCATAGTGGTTAAGTTTGGCATGCTCTGCTTCAGCAGCCTGGGTTCACAGGTTCAGATCCCGGGTGCAGACCTACACCACTTGTCAGCCATGATGTGGCGCTGACCCACAGATAAAGTGGAGGAAGACTGACACAGATTTCAGCTCAGGACTAATCTTCCTCAAGCCAAAAAAGAGGAAGATTAGCACAGATGTTAGCTCAGGGCTAATCTTCCTCAGCAAAAAAAAAAAATAATAAAGTACAATTTGATGAGTTTTGACCTACGTATGATGTGAAACTATCACCACAATCAAGAAAATAAACGTTTCTATCACCCTCAAAATTTGTTTGAGTCCATTGCATCCATTCCTCCCCCCACACTCCATCTTCAGACACTTGCTGGTCTGCTCTCTGTCACTAGAGGTTGGTTTGCCATTTTTAGAATTTCATATAAATTGAATCATTGCAAAATGTACACTTTATTCTGACTTCTTTCAGTCAGCACAAGTTTGAAATGTATCCATTTTGTTGCATGTATCAAACAATGGTTCATTTCTTTTTTTTTTTAAGATTTTATTTATTTATTTTTCCCCCCCAAAGCCCCAGTAGATAGTTGTATGTCATAGTTGCACATCCTTCTAGTTGCTGTATGTGGGACGCGGCCTCAGCATGGCCAGAGAAGTGGTGCCTCGGTGCGCACCCGGGATCCGACCCCGGGCCGCCAGCAGCGGAGCGCGCCCACTTAACCGCTAAGCCACGGGGCGGCCCATCAATGGTTCATTTCTGTTTGTAGCTGAGTAGTATCTCATTTTATGGATATACACCACAATTTGTGTATTCATTCATCTGTTGATGGATGTTTGTGTTGTCTGCAGTTTGGGGCCATTCCAAATAAGGCTGCTATGACTATTCATGTACTAGTCTTTGTGTGGTCATATGCTTTCACGTTTCTTGGATAAATATCTAAGAAAGGAATGGCCGAGTCATATAGTAAGTATATGTTTAACTTTTAATACATTCCAAACTATTTTTCAAAGTGGTTGGAGCATTTCACATTCCCACCAGCAGTGTATGGGTGTTCCACTTGCTCCACATTCTCATCAGCACTTGCTTTGTTCAGTCTTTTAAATTTTAACCATTTTAGTAGTGAGTGGTGGGATCTCATTGTGATTTTAATTAACATTTCCTTAATGACTGATGATGTTGAGCATCTTTTTATGTGCTTATTTGCCTTCCATATATCTTGTTTGGTAAAGTAACTGTTCAAATCATTTGCCCACTTATTAAGGGTTATATGTCTCTTTATTATCTAGTTGGATGAGTTCTTTATATAGTCCAGATACAAATTCTTTTTCAACTATGTTTTGTATATATTATCGTTCCATCTGAAGTTTGCCTTTTCATTTTCTTACAGTGTATTGAGGTATAATACACATACAATAAACTTCACGTATTTAAAGTGTAGAATTTGTCATACTTATGTATCTATGAAACCATCAAAAATTTTAAGATAAAGAACATATCCACCAAAATGTACTTGTGCCCCTTAACAATCCCTTCTCTTACCTCTCCCCTGCTTTAGCCACATCCCAGACATTTAGATATGTCATGTGTTCATTTTTATTAAGTTGGCAATACTTCCTAATTTCCCTTGTGA